AAGACAAAGTACTCTCCACCCTACAACTGTTATAAACATGCTATGCCCCTTATACAAATACTTATACCCTCTATACACAAACACAAACACAACAGCCCCTGTACACTCACACATACAGTTCAGTCCCTATAAACACACACTACACATTTCTAGGTGCACTTTCTTGAAAAATAGAATCTGCATTACATGGCATCCTGACCCTTTATTCTTCAGTGCTGTATATCTTCACCATAATGTGTAAGTATATTAGTTTGACAGTTATTCTGTATTAAGAGATTGCTCCCCTGATATAGGGTAACCATACCTAGGATACCAAATTAAGGTGCTGTTTAGTAGATAGCTCCTTAGTTTAGTACCTTGATGTGGGGTTCTCCTATTTAGGATGCCAAATTAGGGCACTGTTTAGTAGGTGGCTTCCCTAACTTGGTACCCTTATGTGGAATTGCCTATTTAAGGGTGCCAAATTAGGGCTCTGTTTAGCAGATGATTTTTTTGAAGGGGAGAGTGTACGCTGTTGTGCAGAACGTAAAAAGTGGAGACTTTAAAAACCAGTGCATTGACGTGGCAGCACTTTTCAGCCTCTGCACACCTGCTTGCTAAACGATTTTATTTATTGATATATTTTTGAAAGTTTTTTTAATGCTGTTGTTGAAGATGTAAAAGAGGCAGCCCATGATGACTATGAAAATCATTGTATTGGCCTTGCAGCACTTTTCACACCCTGCACGTCAGTTTGCTAAAAGTTTGTATTCTCCCTTTTCCTTAAGAACACTTATACTGCTGTGCAGGGTGTGAAAAGTGCTGCCCTTGGTGTTATTTAAAACCACTTCATCAATTTTATTCTCCTTTTTCTTCAAAATGTTCTTCTCCTTTTTCTTCAAAGATTGGAGAACAGATTAACAGGGAGTCATAGACATGCACATGTCTCTATGTAGAGGTAAAGTCAAGCCTGTGTCTTTACAAAGAGGCATAGTAAGTCTAAACCTTTTTACACAGGCATTGGTAAGCCCATGCATTTACACAGAGGCATAGCAAAACTATGCTTGCCAATGCCTCCCCATAGGAAAGCATTATTAAATGCTCTCCTATGGGGATTCTGGCGACGCTGGAGGTCCTCATGCATAGCGTGAGGACGTCCAGCGTCGTTTAAAACACTTTTCGTGTTCTAAGAACACGGAAGTACCTCTAATTACACTTGCAGGGTCACGTGTGGTGGGAGTTGGCACCCAGACCACTCCAATGGGCAGAAATGGTCTGGGTGGCTGGAGTGTCATTTTAAATTCTAGTGGTTTCGACCTTCTTAGCCTAGCAGTGCTTCCGCAGACACCAGTGGGAGAAGCTGATAGTGCACTGTTTTCTCCACAATGAAGGATGGTCACTGGTGCTACAGAGTGAATATGTGGGAAAGCTTTGTTCTTGTCAGGGTGGAAAGTGTGAGTGGGTGGTCAATTGCCCATGGACTTTTACTTTTCATGTTTGGATAAATCCTCTATTTTAAACTTGAAACGACTCCTGCTCCCCATTTTCTCATTAATACAAGATAGAAATAGGAAAAAAGTTTCTCACTTCCTATTTTTTTTCTTTTTGTTTAAATCCAGATATATAATGATATAATTTTAGCAACTCAGAATTGACGTTGCAAAAATGTCTTATATTGCGTCACCATGAGGCCAAGTAATATTGTAGCCATTTTTCTATATCAGCACACTTAAATCCACCATTTTTCCTGATTTTGTTTTGTTTCCCCAAATTGCCTTCCAGAATTCAGCACAAGCCAAACAGTGGCTGTTACTAAATTTCAGCCAAGCCAAACAGTGGCATTAACTAAATCCTGTTGTCCAAATTGGTTTTTTTTCTACCAAAGTGGTAAGGAAGAACCTAATTATTACACCATGTCTAGTAGGAGCTGTCACAAGAGCTCCCACGTGGTTTATTATTCACTTCCATTCCCTCTACACTCAGGAAGCCGTCTGCAGCTGTATCATTATTTAAAGCTATAGTTAGCCACTTATGCACATCACATGCACATGACTTCTGATGGTAAATTGCAAGATGTGGCAGAGGAAGCTCAGCCCAATGTTGCATTTTGCTAAAAATCATATTGTCCTTGTCCAATTAATTTCTATTATATTATGTTAATATGTATCGTATTATTTGATAGCATTTGAATTTCAATTTTAATTTTAAGATTTTTTTATAAACATTTTATATTTATGAAAATCTTAAAACAGTGTTTCTTTGGAGGTTTGCATGGTGACTAGAAGCAGCTTGTTTTTGAAGTTGCACTCATAATCAGACTGTTGGGCATCTAGCATTAAATTGTTATAATGTATTGTCATAATCAGTTAATTATATGTTGCATTAAGGAAAATTCCTAGCTGATGCTCTCAGCCTATGACCAGCTATCTAGCCACTGACAACTGTGTTGGGCTCCAGAGACCAAACTTACCCCTGAAAGTAAGGCACTGCCCCATAACAACTTCAAAGAGCAATTGTTGATATGGTGGGAGTGTTTCTTTAAATAAATGTTATATGCCTGACTTTTAAAGGACCACTATAGTGCCAGGAAAACAAACTCGTTTTCCTGCCACTATAGGGTCATTAGGTCCCCCCACCCTCAAGGCCCCCCTCCCCCTGAGCTGAAGGGGATAAAACCCCTTCAGCCACTTACATTTCTCCAGCGCTAGGCTTCCTCTGTGCTGGGGAACTCTCCACCCCTTGCCGACGTCAGATCCGAATGCGCATGCACGACAAGAGCCGCGTGCGCATTCAAACCGCCTGTAGGAAAGCAATATTAAATGCTTTCCTATGGACATCCAGCGTCTTCTCACTGTGATATTCACAGTGAGAATCGCGGAGCCGCCTCTAGCGGCTGTCAGTGAGACAGCCACTAGAGGCTGGATTAACCCTCAGTGAAACATGGCAGTTTCTCTGAAACTGCTATGTTTTCAGCTGCAGGGTTAAAACTAGAGGGACCTGGCACCCAGACCACTTCATTGAGCTGAAGTGGTCTGGGTGCCTATAGTGGTCCTTTAAGTCTCTCACTGCAGTCACATTTTTATTTTAAGTAGTGAGTTGACGTACATATCGATTTTGTGTACTGCCCCTTAAATTCTGTAAGCAAATCACAGAATGAAGGAATCATTCCAGTCTACAACAGAGGGTACAAATCCTGAGTTCCAATGCTTCCAAAAAAAATGTGGACAAGACTGAATACTGCAGCGCCACACCAAACAAGCACCTCAAGGAGGACCCGCCCCCAACCATGGCATACTAAATCAACGCGCTACCTGCAAAGATGCTCCCGTTGTGCTGAACACTCCTGGAGGAAGTCTCGCACCCAGTCAGACTTTCTCCATTATAGATTCATATTGTGTTCATACAGTGCAGCCCTTGCCCTTGCCAAACAGTCCTATTTTTCCTCTCTCATTAGTTCATGTTCCCGCAACCCCAGGCGTCTCTTTGACACCTTTAATTCTCTTCTTTGCCCCGCTGTGGCCACCCCCCAAACCAACCTTACTGCTGATTTGAAACTTTGCATGTTACTTCACTGACAAAATTGAACAGCTAAGGAAAGAATTCCCCCCTCCTTGCCTTTCTGTTTCTCAATCACACATAGATCATGCCTTTCCTACCCTTCAGACATTCTCCCCAGCCACTGACCAAGAGGTGGCTGCTCTTCTTTGCTCCTCTCGCCCCACCACTTGCTCGCTCGATCCTGTCCCATCTCACCTTATCAGATCTCGCTCCACTTGTCTCGTGCCTTCTCTAACACACATCTTCAACTGCTCGCTCTCTTCTGGCATCGTCCCTGCTGACCTTAAACATGCCACTGTAGTACCTATACTAAAAAAACCATTCTTCGACCGTCCACCCCCTCTAACTACCGTCCCATATCCCTGCTTCCTTTTTCCTCACAGCTTCTGGAAAGACTTGTCTTTACCCGTGTGTCTCATTTCCTCAATTCCAACTCTCTCCTGGACCCCCTTCAATCTGGCTTCCGTCCTCTCCACTCTACAGAGACTGCCCTTATCAAAGTTACTAATGACCTAATCGCAGCTAAATCCAAAGGCCACTACTCCATACTAGTTCTTCTTGACCTCTCAGCGGCCTTTGACACCGTTGATCATGCTCTCCTTCTTCAAACTCTGAAATTGCTTGGTCTCTGTGACTCTGTCCTCTCATGGTTTTCCTCTTATCTCTCCCAACGCTCATTCCGTGTCTCTTTTTCTAATGATACCTCCTCCCCTCGCCCTGTCTTGGTTGGAGTCCCCCAAGGCTCCGTCCTTGGTCCCCTTCTATTTTCTCTTTATACTGCCTCTCTTGGCAAACTTATTACCTCATTTGGATTCCACTACCACCTGTACGCTGATGACACCCAGCTATATCTCTCCTCCCAGGACCTCTCCCCTGCTGTCCTGCAACGTGTCATTGCTTGCCTTTCTTCCATCTCTGACTGGATGTCCTCCCGCTTTCTGAAACTCAATCTCTTAAAAACTGAGCTCCTTGTCTTTCCTCCTCCTAATACTGATCCTCCTGTTTCGCTCTCCCTTCAAGTTTGTGGTACCAACATCAGCCCATCCTTGCAAGCGCGCTGTCTTGGCGTCATACTTGACTCTGGTCTCACCTTTGAGCCTCACATCCAGCATGTTGCCAAATCCTGTAGATTCCATCTTAAAAACATAGCCCGCATCCGCCCCTTTCTTGCACCAGATACTACCAAGGAGCTTGTCCATGCTCTAATAATTTCACGCATGGATTATTGTAACCCTCTCCTGCTTGGTCTTCCCAAAAGCCGTACTGCACCCCTACAGTCTGTAATGAATGCTGCTGCTAGACTGATTTTCCTCTCTAGTCGGTTCTCTCACACCTCACCCCTCTGCCAGTCCTTACATTGGCTTCCTGTGTGCTATAGGAGTCAATTCAAGGCACTAACTCACACCTATAAAGCACTGAACAACTCTAGCCCCTCTTATATCTCCTCACAGATCCATAGGTATGTCCCTTCTCGGTCTCTCCGCTCTGCCCGTGACCACCTCCTGTCCGTTGTCCGCACCCGTACGGCCAACTCGCGCTTGCAGGACTTCTCGCGGGCGGCTCCCTTCCTATGGAATAGCCTGCCTCCCGCCATCAGACTCTCCCCTAGTCTTGCATCTTTTAAGAAGTGCCTTAAAACCCATCTCTTTAGGAAAGCTTATGGCCTCCAAGACTAACCCCTACCTCACATACCTGTCTCTTGCCCTCTCCTAAAGGGCAGCCCACCTTATTTGATTGCAAATTCCTGTCCTAATGTGTTTTACACCCCACCTCCTATAGAATGTAAGCTTGATTGAGCAGGGTCCTCTTCAACCTATTGTTCCTGTAAGTTTATTTGTAATTGTCCAATTTATAGTTAAATCCCCTCTCATAATATTGTAAAGCTACGGAATCTGTTGGCGCTATATAAATGGCAATAATAATAATAATAATAATAATACAAATTACTTCTTTATTCCATAGGAAAACATGAAAACACAAAATGGATGTGCTCCACTTTCTCAATAGCAGAGACTCTGGATCCCTTGTTCCTGTTTTACATATGGATGAATTGCAATATCGCAATTGCAGATTCCCAAAATCCACAACAAAATAATTATTATAGATATATAGATATGTTTTACTGAAAACGTGATGCTTACTACTCAGGCTATTTTATTGTTTGTCCACTAGAGTGTGCTCAAGTATCATTTTACCATCTAATTGATAAAGGCTAGTTTAAAAAAAAAAAAAAACTGTTTAACCCCTTCAGGACGGAGTCAATAGTGCACGTTCTGATCAAAACAAAACGTAAACAAAAACTGGAATTTGCGCTATATGTCTGTTCAACCATAATTTACCGCTGTCACATTAAGTGCACCACACTTATTATATATCATTTTGTTCAGGAGAAACAGGGCTTTAATTTATCATTAACTATTCATATATGCAACATAATTTATTATGAATAAAATTTCAAAAAAATGTAAGAAAATAAGATCGATTTTGTTTTAACCGCTTAAGGACCAAACTTCTGGAATAAAAGGGAATCATGACATGTCACACATGTCATGTGTCCTTAAGGGGTTAAATTTGTATTTCCATCTGACATTTTAGCTGTGAATGTCATAATACTGAAAGTCACAGGGTCAAATATAGAACGTTCCATTTTCAAATTGAAATTTGCCAGATTAGTAATGTTACCTTTGAGACGGTGTGGTAACCCAGGAATGAGAATTACCCCCATAATGGCATTAGTAGACAACCTAAGGTATTGAAAGTGGGGTATGTTTAGTCTTTTTTAGTAGCCACTTAGTCACAAACACTGGCCAAAGTTAGCGTTCATATTTGTTTTTGAGTTTTTGTCTTTGAGAGCGATCACATGGCCCCTGGGGGCTTCTTTTGCCGTGGGAGGGCTGCCTGGGCTGTCAGGCAGTCCTCCCGAAGCAGAGCTCTGGGAAGGTGAGTATACCGGTGCTCCAGGGGCTTCAGCCGTTACGGCGTTCTATGCTGCCGCAACGGCTTTAAAACCCATTTAATGTGGGACGGCATAGAATGCCGTAACGGTGTTAAGGGGTTAAAAGTGCTGAGACATTTTAAAAACTGTTTAATAAAAACTTTTTTAATTAAAAATGATTCAGGAATAATTAAGAGAGCAATCTCAATGTATTGCTCAGCTCATGTAAAAGTGCCAGGCTTTTAGAACATAGAATATGGAATTCACTATATCTACTTGGAGTATTGATGAGATGCTTGCTAGTCTTAAAGGAACACTACAGTCACCCAGAACACTTCATCTCAATGAATTGGTTTGGGTTCAGTGTCCCTGTCCTCTTAACCCTGCAAAGTAAAACTCGATCATGTGACGTAGAAGCCCCATAGGAAAACACTGATTCTGTGCTTTCCTATGGGAAATTTTAAATGCACCACTCAAGCAAATCTCTATGAAGAGCATTGGACCATAAATGCAAACATTAGTTGGCTATAAGTACAAGCCATGCACATATAACAATGATTTAAATGGTTTTATAACAATGTTAGCTACCTTTAATGAGTTTTAGGTGCTGTCTAGGACATCACATTTTTATGTTATAGGTTATTTTGACTCCTATTAAGATCTTCCTATTCCAACACAGCTAAAAAACTGGCAGATACTAGATATATTAATTTTAGTGGCTGACAGTACTGACTGCCAAGTGGAAAAAGCATGAAACCATAACCTAACATCAGATTTGTGTTGTTTTCATTTAATCTGGGGCTTATGAAAAACTTTGTAAAAGAAATAGACAAATCTGTTAATGGGGTTTTACAATTGAATGGATCTTTGTTTGTCTTTAGATCAGAAAGATACTAAATGAAAACGGTATATGTAGAAAACTGAATATGAAGGAGTTAATTGCATGGAAATCCTTCACATCTGTGGTCCAGGTTTACTGGGGGATCACAAAGAAGAAAACTACCATCAACACATTAAATATCTTTTCTTTTTTTTTTTCAAATGGTTATAATCTTGGCTTCTGAATGTTTTTAAAGATATATTTCTGGCACTCAAACTCGACTATTTATCTGAGAATTAAGTAGCTGTCAGTGACGAGTAAGGGAAAAGATTTCACCTGGATATTTAAACTATGGAGGAGAAATACCAAGGCAGATCGGATCCAGCTATGATGGGTCACTATTGCTAATTCTTGTAGAAGGAAGACACATAAAGTAAAAAAAATGGACATCTTATTCTTAAATAGATCCTTATATATGTTCCAACATTATTTAATTTGTTACTTTATATCTAGTGGTCTGCTACCCCTATTATAACATAATGATATATAATGTTTTTTTATTTTAATTTAACGGACCACTAAAGTCACCCAGGCCACTTTATCTCAAAGAAGTGGTCTGAATGTACAAGGTCCTGTTATCTTAACTCTGCAATGAAAAACATTGCAGTTTTGCAGAACTTGTTTTTCACAGTCATTTAAATATAGTACCCAAAATTCTATACGACCAACATTATTTAAAGAAAGGTTTCAATTTGTTGTCTAGTGTAACTTTATATCCCACTTTCTTGCTGGTTAAAGGTTTAGAAACGCTGTTTATCCCCATAAGTTGTCCTTTCTTTATTCTTGTTGGCTGGCCTGATCTGTCTACATTTTCTCAAACAGCACTCACCTCACAATCTTTTGACAATGATGGCATATTTCTTTCCATAAAAATTATGTTACCTGCCTATACAGCTACATATTGGGTTTCTCTGAAATTCTTGGCTTTCACAGTGAAGCTTTTATTAATGTTAAATAGATAATTATTGTATATGAAATGTCAGCTTTGTTTTATTTACAGGAAGTTTGATTGCAATCTGCTATATAGTGGAGAATACATTGCATTCCATAAGTTGAACGTTAAACCTTGAAAATACCCAGATTTACAGCTTATTCTAAGGTGCATTCTGTAGTTTTACTGTCCACTATGAAGCATTACAGAAGATACAATTTCAGGATTCCAGAAGCTGAATTCTAAAATTCATATTATGAACAACATAGCAGAACTAGATATATGTATGTATGTATGTACAGTATCTCACAAAAGTGAGTACACCCCTTACATTTTTGTAAATATTTTATTATATCTTTTAATGTGACAACACTGAAGAAATGACACTCTGTTACAATGTAAAGTAGTAAGTGTACAGTCTGTATAACAGTGTACATTTGCTGTCCCCTCAAAATAACTCAACACACAGCCATGAATGTCTAAACCGTTGGCAACAAAAGTGAGTACACCCCCAAGTGGAAATGTCCAAATTCGGCCCAAAGTGTCAATATTTTGTGTGGCCACCATTATATTCCAGCACTGCCTTAACCCTCATGGGCATAGAGTTCACCAGAGCTTCACAGGTTGCCACTGGAGTCCTTTTCCACTCCTCCATGGCTACATCACGGAGCTGGTGGATGTTAGAGACCTTGCGCTCCCCCACCTTCCATTTGAGGATGCCCCATAGATGCTCAATATTGTTTAGGTCTGGAAAAATGCTTGCCCAGTCCATCACTTTTACCTTCAGCTTCTTTAGCAAGGCAGTGGTTGACTTGGAGGTGTGTTTGGGGTTGTTATCATGTTGGAATACAGCCCTGTGGCCCAGTATCTGAAGGGAGTGGATCATGCTCTTCTTCAGTAGGTTACAGTACATGTTGGCATTTATGGTTCCCTCAATGAACTGTAACAGCCATGCAGACCAATTTGATGCAGTGTGCATCTGATCACTGACAGGCTGACCCCCCAACCCTTCAACCTCGGCAGCAAAGCTGACAGCACTCATACGTCTATTTCCCAAAGACAACTTCTGGATATGATGCTGAGCAAGTGCATTCAACTTCTTTGGACAACCATGGCGAGGCCTGTTCTGAGTGTAACCTGTCCTGTGAAACCGCTGTATGGTCTTGCCCACCGTGCTGCAGCTCAGTTTCAGGGTCTTGGCAATCTTCTGATAGCCTAGGCCATCTTTATGTAGAGCAACAATTCTTTTTTTAAGATCCTCAGAGAGTTCTTTGCCATGAGGTGCCATGTTGAACTTCCAGTGACCAGTATGAGAGCATGTGAGAGCGATAACACCAAATTTAACACATCTACTCCCCATTCACACCTGAGACCTTGTAACACTAACGAGTCACATGACACCGGGGAGGGAAAATGGCTAATTGTGCTCAATTTGGACATTTCCACTTAGGGGTGTACTTACTTTTGTTGCCAATGGTTTAGACATTGATGGCTGTGTGTTGAGTTATTTTGAGGGGAGCACAAATTTACACTGTTATACAGGCTTTACACTTACTACTTTACATTGTAACAGAGTGTCATTTCTTCAGTGTTGTCACATGAAAATATATAATAAAATATTTACAAATATGTGAGGGGTGTATTCACTTTTGTGAGATACTGTATGTATGGTTGTGATGATCAACTAATGATCTCAGTCAATCCAATGTTTCCCTATAGGAGGCTAATGCACATGTGCCGGAAATTGCTGCCTCAATCATATGCTCTCTAGGATCAGCATTTGATTGATAACCAAGTCTCACTTGGTTCTCACAGGGGAAGCACAACTAATGGCTGCCAGAAAGACAGCCACTAGAGGTGATGGAAGCATTGCAGTATCTACAAAACTACACTGTTTTACAATGCAAGATTAAAATTAAAGGTCCATTGCATCTCGACCACTTTGTTAAGATGAAGTGGCCTAGGTGCCTTCAGTGGTCCTTTAATAGTTTCCTATTAGTAGTATAGTGCTACACAAGGTAATTTAGAGGGAGTGGTCTATGTTCCCCTGATGACTAAGGAAAGGGGTGCTGGGGTACAGAACTTTACTGCTTA